ATTTTAAGTGCTTTACATAATATTCCATGGTATATATAAGAATTTTTTTAAATAAATGCTTTATAAATATTAACTTATTTAATTCTTAACTCCTCTATGAGGTATTGTAGAATTAATCCTCATTTTACAGATGCAGAAATGAAGGCACAAAATGATTAAGAGGCTTACCTGAGGTCACCTAGCTGGTAAGTGGTAAAAGAGGAGGATTTGAACCCAGGCAAGGTGGCTGCAAATTCCATAACTCTAACTTCTATATTGCCTTCCTCATAACCTGTGGCCTGGTGAAATTAGGTATTACCAGTCCTGCCAAGGCACTCCTTATTCCTAACTAGCATGTGGTGACTGGAATGCATGTCGGCTTAACAGGACTGGGTTGGTGGAGATTTTTGGAGGAATATGAAGGGTATGTGCAAGGATGTTAGAGGCAAAGAGAAGGGAAATTTTAGGGGAGAGAAAGGGTAGTCACTGAAATAAACAAGGAAAACCAGCTCTGCCTGCTTGGGCAGGAAATACCTAGTCATCAAGCCTGTCTAGTTTCATGCCATCTGGCTTCCTCTGAGGCCAGCTGATAGACCTTTATGGGTGTTGATGAAGCTGCCCTTTGAATCCTGTGGCAGTAAAATGAAGGTTATTGAACACTGATGGTTAAAGATACACACACACAAATATAACTAGAATTAGAAGGAATGTTGAGAGAGGAAGTGTTGAGAGAGGAAGTGTGCCCTGGGCATTAATTTAGAGAATATGCGGATGTCTCATTCCCTTGACCCTATAGCTGTTGGTAATTAATGACCCACAAAAGTTAAGTAGAATCTCATTTAATCTATCACTACAGTGTGGCACTTTCAGGCTCCCAGAATAGCTATGACCCTTGAGCAACTGAAAAAATTTGTATCTGCATAAAGTGACCAAAATAGCTAAAAAGAGTTCAGGACATGGAAATTATAAAAAAATACTATGTGACTGACCGGTTTTCTAAGGGAAACCTATAAGGACAATTTATTAGCAAAGAGAAAACAGAGAGAGAAAGTAGAAAAGAAAAGTGACTGGGAGACCACAGACTCTGTTCAACAACAGATAGAAAGAAAGATGATTAAGATGAAACAGAACCCCAGGGCCAGGTGCCATGGCTCATTCCTGTAATCCTGGCACTCTGAGAGGCATGGGTGGGAGGATCACTTGAAGTCAAGAGTTTGAGACCAGCCTGAGCAAGAGCAAGACCGTCTCTACTAAAAGTAGAAAAATTAGCCAGACATTGTGGCAGGTGCCTATAAGCTCAGCTACTCAGGAGGCTAAAGCAGGAGGATCACTTGAACCCAGGAATTTGTGGTTGCTGTGAGCTAAGGTGATGCCACGGCTCTGTAGCCTAGACAACAGGGTGAGATTCTGTCTCAGAAAAAACCCCAGAACCCAGTGCAGAGGCAAGCCAAGCTCTACTACCACAGAGAATGGAGACAAGAGGAGGCATAAAATTGGCAGGGTCTGGAGTTAGTGGCAATCATGCTTATTTCACAAAGGCACAGGTATACTTCAGGTAGAATTGAGCAGTCAAAGGATGCTGTACTGGACTATTGGACTATGCTGGTAAACCAACCCCTAACATAGACATGTACTTAGTAGTCACAAGTACACTTGTGTCCACAGTAAAAGCAAAAGAGGTGCTGAACTTGAAATTAAGCAGATAATTCCAGCTGGGTGTGGTGGTTCAAGCCTATAATCCTCACACTTTGGAAGGCTGAGGCAGAAAGATTTCCTTGAGGTTAGGAGTTTGAGACAACCTTGGGCAACATAGTGAAACCTCAAAACCTCATCTCTACAAAAAAATTTAAAAATTAGCTAGGTGTAGTGGTGCATCCCAGTTACTGAGGAGGCTGAGGCAGGAGGATTGCTTGAGCCCAGGAGTTTAAGGTTGCAGTCAGCTATAATGACACCACTGCACTCTAGCCCAGGCAATAGAGTGATACCAAGTCTCAAAAAATAAAATCATAATGGGTATCATTTTTGCAATTAAAAAAATATGCAGTTCATTTTTTTTTTTTTTTTGAGACAGAGCCTCAAGCTGTTGCCCTAGGTAGAGTGCTGTAGCATCACAGCTCACAGCAACCTCCAACTCCTGGGCTCAAACAAGTCTCTTGCCTCCACCTCCCAAGTAGCTGAGACTACAGGCACCCGCCACAATGCCCGCCTGTTTTTTGGTTGCAGCCATCATTGTTGTTTGGTGGGCCCAGGCTGGATTCGAACCCGCCAGCTCAGGTGTATGTGGCTAGCACCTTAGCTCCTTGAGCCACAGGCACCAAGCCCTGCAGTTCACTTTTTATTTAATTTTGTAGAAAGATAGCTATGTGGCTCTCACTGGTAAAAGTTTTAAATTGGCCTGGTATATTGGCTAATGCCTGTAATCCTAGCACTTTGGGAAATCAAGGTGGAAGGATCAATTGAGGCCGGGAGTTCAACTATCCTGGGCAACAGAGCAAGACCCTGTCTCTACCAAAAATTTAAAATTTAAGCATGGTGACTCACACCTGTAATCCTAACTGCTCAGGAGGCAGAAGTGAAAGGATTGCTTGAGCCCAAGAGTTCCAGGTTGTCGTGAGTTCTTGGCCTACTACACTCCAGCCTAGGTACCAGAGCAAGACCTTGTTTCTAAAAATAAAAACTAAAGAGATGGTACTAGTAATTAATTAATTTAAAAGTATATTTTAGGATCCTTCATTTAAAAGAATAAAGTCCTGTCAAAAAAATAAATAAATACATAAAAACTAAGGGGAATGGTGGTCACCTCATACCTATCATGGCTAACCAAGAATAAAACATCAGAAAACAACAAGTGTTGGCTGGCATGGTGGCTTATACCTGTGATCCTAGCACTCTGGGAGACCAAGGCGGGAGGATCGCTTGAGCTTAGGAGTTGGAGATTAGCTTGAGCAACAGCAAGACCCCTTCTCTACTAAAATAGAAAAATTAGCCAGGTGTTGTGTTAGGTGCCAGTAGTCCCAGCTACTCAAGAGGCTGAGGCAGAAGGATTGCTTGAACCCAGGAGTTTGAGGTTGCTGTGAGCTGGCCTGATGGTATTCTAGCCTGGGCAATAGAGGCTCCCCCTCCTCAGAAAAAAAAAAAAAAACAAGTGTTACCAAGGATCTAGAGAAACTAGAACCCTGTACAGTGTTAGTAAGACTATAAAATGGTGCAGCTGCTGTGGAAAACAATATAGTGGTTCCTCAAAAAAATTGAAGTAAGATTACCGTATGATTCAGCAGTTCCACTTCTAGGTTTATAGAAGAGATATTGGTACACCTATGTTCAGAGCAGGGTTATCTATAGTAGCTAAAACATACATGCAGCCTAAGAGTCCATTGACAGAAGAACGGATAAGCAAGCAAAATGTTGGATATACATAGAATATTATTCAGTTTTAAAAAGGGAGGAACTTCTGACATGCTCCAAAGTTTATAAAGGTGAAAATGAGGACATTATGCTAACTGAAGTAAGCCAATCACAAAAGTACAAGTACTGTATGATTCCACTTACATGAGTTACCTAAAGTAGTCAAGTTCATAGAATCTCAGGCTGTTGCCCTGGGTAGAGTTCCATGGTGTGGTGTCAAAGCTCACAGCAACCTCAAACTCTTGGGCTCAAGTGATCCTCTTGCCTCAGCCTCCTGAGTAGCCGGAACTACAAGTGCCTGCCACAATGTCTGACTATCTTTAGAGACGAGGTCTCCCTCTGGCTCAGGCTGATCTGGAACCTTTGAGCTCAGGGCAATCCACCCACCTTGGCCTCCCAGAGTGCTAGGATTAAGCCCGGCCAGCAAGAAGGAACTTTAAATGTTAAATCACTTCCCTTTTATAGTGAGGCACTGAAGTTTAAATGATTTCACCAGGGTTACATAGAAAGTTAAGTACCAGAACAAGGATTTGGGCTGGGCACGGTGGCTCACACCTATAATCCTAGCACTCTGAGAGGCCGAGGTGGGTGGATAGCTTAAGCTCACATGTTCAAGACCTGCCTGAGCAAAAGTGAGACCCCATCTCTACTAAAAATAGAAAAACTGAGGCAAAAGAATCACTTGAGCCCAAGAGTTGGAGGTTGCTGTGATCTGTGACGCCGTACCACTCTACCTATGGAGACAGCTTAAGACTCTGCCTCAAAAACAAAAAAACAAAACAAACAAAAAAACACCCCACGGATTTAGACTCAGCTTTATCCATTTTTCATTTTCCTCCTAATACATGATATAGCTTGTATCATTAAGTCTCCATGGAGGAAGATTCTGCAGTTTCTCATTTTGGAGCAGTATTTTATTCGTGCTTTTCTTTTTTTTTTTTTTTTTT